GGTGTAAAGGGATGCCACATAGTTAATAGCTTTTACAGCTGTATTTTTTGGTTATAACAGTCTTGTAACTAATCCCTTGTGTTAGGAGATAAATTAAGTATAATTAGTTACTAAGCCTAATTAGACAAATGTATATAAACTGAGTTGTATTCCTTTCTCGTTAAGAAAGAAATAATAAAAGATCTTCTTTTCTTATAGCTGGAGTAGTGGCGGTACAATGCCAGCACTAATGGCCCTCCTTTTGTTTGCTTGGTTCAGAGACAATTTAAACAGTGCCGTGACAGCGTCTTTTTTTACCTCTGATCGTCCCGTCCTGCAACAAATCTACTAATGGCGGAATGCCATTTGATGACCCCACAATTACTTTGTTCTCATCAATCATCGACAAGCTAAATAAAGCTGCTGCAGAGTTCTCTCTAGCTTCTGTGCTTCCATTCTGCAAGACTTCTATAATAGCTGGAATGGCTTCTTATCTGGTTATCAGTTTCTTGTTTGTTTTGTCAATCGATAAATTCAAAAGAGCCGTTACTGCATACTGTTGAATTTTAGAACCTGGATAGGAAAGAAGTTGCACCAGTGGTGGGATTCCTCCACTTTTGGCAACCAAAATTCTGTTCTCTGGATTCTCTTTAGAGATCAAACGAATCTTCATGGCAGCATTTCTTTGCACTTTTAAGTGACTTGAGGACAGCTGATCAACCAAAGATGAGATCTCCTCTTTGTGTTCGGTGGAGGAGCTTTCCTGGCCTGTGGAAAGGAAGTTTCATTGTTCTCTTTTCGAATGGAGAGCTGGAAGTTTGATCAGTTCACTTCTTCACCACTGGATGATTAGAATGGTTTGATGAAAAGATTGCGTTTCCTAAATTTTTGGTGCTCCAAGTGAACAGGATCCTGATGGCCAGATTGTCCTAAACTGGTATGGAGCCAGTCCTCTGGTCTGTGGGGTCTGTCCTGCATTCTGATTGGGTGTCCAGCCACTTTTGTATGCTTTCTCTGTTATACGTCTTCAATGAAATAACCAAACCCAAGAAAGAGGAAAAACTAATCAGTTTCCATTCTGTTAATATAACATTTTTAAATGTAACCTGTGCACAAGTTTACTTTCTCTACGGAAGATATGCTCCAACTCACGTGACACGAGTAGACGGAAGACGAATATATACCAGGGAAACCTAGTTAGTGCCCATTTCATGTAAGCGAATCACCAGTCCACTTGCAACAATAACAGGATCCGTCATTATTTCTAGCGTGATTGGACAGAGGAATTCATGAGGGATCATCAAAGACGGGCACTTCTCGAGCATTTTAGGCATAACAGGGTCGCCAAGGACATTGGTCGCTTCCATTCCTGCTATTTGTCTGAATTTGTTTAGAAGATCACAATAGGAATTGCTGCAATTGTGCGTAGTTTTTCTGAATTCTCTGCACTTGGCCCTCCTCTCTCTTTATCATTAACCAGATTCCTCACAGCTATTGTTTCTATCTTAAGGTTCTCAGATTTTTGCAGGTCTAGCTTTTGGGCCAGCCTCTCTATAATGGCACTATCAGCATTTCTATCTTCTTTTTTGGGCAAAACCACCATAATATCCATTGCGAGTTCTATGTCCTGCGTATCCATTTGCTTCCTCGCTCGTCTAAGTTGCATGATCATCAGTTCAACCTGAAACAAAGTGAAAAAGTTCGTCTAAAAGATTACCAAGCTCCGAATTAACACCACCCACCCCGAAACAATCAAGAACAAGTTTTTGATACACAAACTTATATCAAACGGGTGCAATGGATGAAGATCTCTGTGTATGAAAAATGAAATAACACAAGGGAAGCATTATCGTTAGCTTTGAAACGAAAAAAAAGGCAACATATATGTATATACCTGTTCCTTGACTTCATTTGAGATGCAAAGTTCATCAGGCAAACCTTCTAAAGCCTGACCGAGTCTTTCATGAACCGCATGAAATCTAACCATGATTGCCTCGCTTTCAAATGCCTAAATTACCACAACAACAAATAATTAAATAATTCACAGTTCCGAATTTGAACATGTATTAACTTTCAAAAGGAAAAAGCCTAACCAGATAAATTTTGCTCCCCTCATGACAAGTTTTGAGCAATTTCTTGGCCATGAGAAGCATCATCTTCAAATTTTCCAACCAAGCGGCACCCCTCTCCGGAATTGGCTTATCGAGCTCCCGCGTCTCTTCAAAAAGCAGCAGCAAGAGCTTCATACGCCGCACCAGGTTATAGCATTCTTTCCTCTGCGTCCTTCGGTAGTCTCCGATTTGAACAACATATTCAATCACACCCTCCGCAGTTTCATCTCTGATCTCTTCTCCGCCACCTCCACCTTCACCTTCGCCCTTGATCTCTCCTTCCATTACCATGGGCCTCCACCTTTATACATATATGTATACGATATGAACCAAAAAACAGAAGCCTAGTTTCTTAAGAGTAATTTTGACTTCAAATCACGAGTAGCGAACTAGCAATAGCATTGCCCTAGGGTTTATGAATGCATCATTTGCCGCTGGAAGCCGGGTTGAAGATAACGAAACCCTAACCTTAATGTCCATGGATTCCTTTTGCAGGTGCTCTGTGTGTTCGTTCTTGGTGCCTGTCAGAAGCTTTTCGCGGGGTTTTCGGGTCTCTGGCTTTTTAAATTGGAAAATACACTGAGCCTAAAATAGAACGCTATTTGAAAGTTGGTTAGTTTCTGACTAACTACTTTTGGGCTTCCCTTGCGGTAAATTGCCAATTGCCGCACTACTCTCACATAGCATTAGCATTAGTATTACACTATTACTCTCTCTCTCTCTCTCATATAAGTTATATTTAGAAATACTTTTTATTAAAGGCACATTAACCCTACATACTTAATAAACCCTACATTTACTTTTTAAATTAAATTTTTTCTTAACACACCCCATGCATTTTCCAATACTACCCTCACACCTCACATATTATACACCCCACACCTCACATCTCACACACCCCACAATTATCGACTAATTAACCACACATCAAACTCTTCATCTCTTTCAAACAAAAGAATAATCCACATTTTAAAGACAAGAAAGATGAATTAAATTTTTGTATAATCTTCATCTTGTCATTTGATTTATAAACATCCGTCAAATTTTATAGAAAAATCACGTTGGATTCTAAGAAGCCTGATGAACAAATGGTAGGAACTGTTTTTATAAGGTCATATCAGTTCCAAATAGCCAAAAAACATTCAATTTCTTCATCATCAAACAACCACAAGAATATTACATCTAATTACATCTTAAAATTTTCAACATTCTTCAGTTTTCTTCCTATTTCTTGGATTCCAATTAAAGTAGGGCTTTGCAAAATGTCAAATTTTTATTCCATTATTTAAATAATTTCTTGAATATGAAAACCAACAAATGAACAAGGAGCAAAACTCGATTTTTTGTTCCGTTCATCAAAGGATATATTTTCATCAACTTGTTTGTGTTTTTTAGGGCTTTGTTCTACAATGGAGAGTAATAGTAGCTATGAGGGCTCGAATAGTTATTTCATATTAGAGTTACAAGCTGTTTAGTATTACATTTTTAAGTGAGGTGTGTTTGTACCATACTTAGGGCCTCCGTATTTAGATCTTGTATAAATACTCGGGGGACTTAAATGTAATTATGTAATAAAGGAAATGGCAAATATGTAATAAGTAAGGAGCCCTTATTCTATAAAATGACCATTCACCCTCACAATTAGGGGGATGCCTCACTCTCACCCTCAGAGGCCAATTCCTAGGCAATGAGAAGCCTCACTCTCACCCTCTCATCCTCTCACAAATAGAGAAATACAATATCAGTGTGGACGTAGCCCAAACATTGGGGTGAACCACGATACATCTTGTGTTATTTACTTTCTTACAGATTCACGGTCGGATTTATGTTGTTCCAAGACCCATCCGGTTTTGTGCATCAACATTTGGAGCCGTCTGTGGGAATCGACACGAAAAGCTATGTCGGTTCTCTTTCATTTTTCCATCTCACCACCGTCCACCGTGAATCTACAAAAACCCAACAACCCAAAGCTTTCCCAGAAAACCCACAGAGCCACCACATCTCTCACTCCCACTCTAACTTCTCTGAGTCCACGGAAGTTGTTCTCAATCTCATTTGTTATTCCTGCGGCAAACCTTGCCGATCCAAAACTAAAAGTGATTTGCACACCAAAAGAACCAGATCGAGTTCGCCCTCTGCTGTAAATCCCGCCGTCCAAATGAGAGAACCAGCGAGGCGGTCCACCGTCAAGAAATCCTTTAAGCTCAAGCCTTGCTCTTCCGCATCGAGTGGGTCTTCTTCCAGCTTTTGAGGTCCGGTCTTCGAGTCCAAGGAGGAAGACTAATTTCACACCAGGACAAATCTGAGGTCCGGTCTTCGAGACCACCGACAAATTTGAGGCAGAGACTTAGACACGCTCTCCCTCTGCATGCATCTTTTTGCCCAACCTACCAGCCCCGGACACTCCACCATGCACAGGTTTCCACAGGTTTCCAGTGCATAGAACCAGCTATAGAAAGGGATAAGTGCCACATCCACTAGGCCAAAACTCTCACCCTCGAAATAGGTCTTGTCTCCTAGCTCGTTTTCCAACAGCTTAAAGCACTCTATCAGTTCCTTCTTTGCTGCCTCTTGGAGGAATGAGGGACCGGAAAATTATGCAATACAGATGGAGGAATGAGCGAAGCTTGTTCAAAAGTGCAGCAACGTTGGCGGGTGGAGAAAACACACTCACCCCAAGAAGCTTCACCAACCGGACAATTCTCTTCGAAGAGTGTTTGATGTGCTTAAACTGCAGGGTATGACGGTGCTCTCTCGAATAGAAGAGAGTTTGAAGATGAAAAGTAATTAGCCTGAAATGGTTAAATGTTCGTCTGGGGTGCCTGAAGCGTCATCGGTTACAGTCGGGTTGGATTTGCCGTTAAAGGAGTTGAAGATGAAACTCCTTAAGGATGAACAAGTGTCTATGCTTGTGCTAAATGCTGCTGGAGGATGCGAGAAATCCTTGCTGGAACGAGAAACCCGTCCTCAACGTTGACGACCCATCCCACCTCTCCCACAAGCTCGTCGACGTTGTCGCTTACAATGACAGAAAAATCGATCATTTTCCTCCCTCCTTCGACGGACTACCGGCGTCTCTGTAATTGCACCGACGACCCATGGCGAGATGCTCGATAGCCTGCCTTCATCCTTATCCTCTTCATCTCAGATCCGAGACCGATGCGCCCTTCAACCTTCTTACAGCTCTCGAATCACATATTCCATCAAGTTTATCCACCTCCGAGTTCTGCATGTCACATTTCCGTGCATGTTTGTGTTCTGTGGTAAGAGCCTCGAACAGGGAAAAAAAAAGTGGAATAGGATAGTGCTAAAGTGAGCTTGTTTCAAAGGTTTAAGGAAAGTTATTATTTGCAGCTTCTTTTGGCCAAGAGGCTTTGTTCTCGAGCTACTCTTGGTGCTGAAACATTGTTCTTGCACGAGATTACTACTCAACTTGAGGTTACTGATGCTGAGACGGTGTCGTATCGGCTATAGGTCAGTGGCCGCTTGTCTTACACTGACAAGATATCAAATGGTTTCTACAACATTTTAGGGATGAATCCATATCTCGCGAGAGGAAGGTAGAGACGAACTCCAGATATAGTGAGAGAGGACAAAACTGCCACGGATTTTGAGGTTCGATGACCGTCGTCGATGTTTGATCGTATCTGATCTCCGCCATCCGTCGGTTTCTGATTCCCTCTCGTCTCAGCGGTGGTGGATCTCCGGTAAGGCTCCACCGTCTGGTTCTCAATCTCGTGGTCTCTAGGAAGCGATCAAGATGGGCCATGGCCAACCCCAGTACCTCGACAAATTGCAAGGAAGCAGATCAAAGATGCTCTGTATGCTACAGACGACCTGCTGGATAAGATCAATGACCCATCCCCTGCATCTTCATTTTCTGAGAAAGCAAAAGTGGAATAAAGGAAAAGAGAAAATAAGAAAAGCAAAAGATAAGCTTCCTATTATTATGATTCTTTATGCCTGGAGGTGGAGAGACAGAGAGAGGTGCACCAGAAAAGAGAAAAGAAGAAAAGCAAAAACAAAGCAAAAACAAAAAAACCGAGAAAAAGCAAAAAGCAAAAGGGAGGCACATTGGGACACTACAAAAAGCAAGGAATAAACCCCACCAGAAAGATGTGATTTACTTTTCTTGTTTTTGTATGATGTGATTTATTTTTCTTATCTTTCGGAGACATCTGTATAAACCCCATCAGAGGGTAATAAAAATAAATAAATAAAAAAACGTCAAGCCCAAAATAATGGGCTGGACTGATATGTGGAAGGCCAAGACCCATATGCCCAAAAGAGCCAGGCCCTATGGCTCCAAAATTATTCGGCACCAACCAGAAGATCAAAAGTATGCCCATACCAAAAACATGAGCATTACTCTGTCAATCAATACTATAACATTCCATGAGCATCACTCAGACATTCATAAGATCACTCATGTCAACATCATGAGTCATCATCATCAATCAACAAAAACACATGCATCACTCATGCCAGCAGCATTTCAAATCTTCATTTACATGAGCTCTAATTCATCAGTCAAAAGTTTTCATGTGTTCATAAGGATCACTCTAGCTTCAATAAGCATTTTAGCTCACTAAAATTCTTCCAGCTTCAAAATCTTCATTTACAGAGCTCTAGCTTCAAAAGTTTTCATTTACATCAAAGAGCTTCGAAACCTTTTACACTAAGCTTCTAGCTTCATTTACAAGAGCTTCATTTATATCAGAGTCAAAGCTCCTTCAAAAGCTTCACTTGCAAGCTTTAAAAGCCTTCCTTCAAAGCACCTACAAAGCTTCAGTGCAGGCGTATACAAAGTAACGGTCGAAAAATCGTCTCCGAACAACCGTCATTTCGGCCCATAAATGGATTCAATTTAAAGTCTCCAGCCAACAGGAACTCTATTGACCGACTTTTGGGACTACACTATACACCATTTATTGCGCCTCAACTGGGGCTCATAAAAAAAATACTTGGGGACTTAGCCCATTATATTATATGTATTGAAGAGCGAGCCCTTATTCTATAAAAGGGACTTCCTCACTTTTATTAGAAATCACTCATTATTCATGTACTGAGGAGCGAGCCCTTGTTTTATAAAAGGGACTCCCTCACCTTCATTTAGAACATTGCATCGAGGCGAGCCATCGCCGCCAGTTGGCGAACTGCCTCACCCGCGCGCCATCACATCACTCCTTACGCCATTATTCATGTATTGAAGAGCGAGCCCTTATTTTATAAAAGGGACTCCCTCATCTTCATTAGAGAGTATCACCGCCAGCTGAGCAACCGCCTCGCCGCGAGCATCACTCTTAACCCATCACTTATGTATTGAGGAGCAAGCATTTATTCTATAAAAATGACTCCCTCACCATCATTAGATAGCATCGTCGCCAGCTGAGCAACCCCCTCGCCGCGAGCATCCACTATAGCCCATCACTTATGTATTGAGGAGCGAACCCTTATCTATAAAAGGGGACTCTCCTCACCTTCAAACGTATCTTCAAACCGAGCCAATACTTCAACGTCAAAATAGCCAAGCCAAACATAAGCCACAAGTAGAGCAGCATCGCAAACATGTGCTACTTCTAGTTAAGCATCATTTCAGATTGAGCAGCGCCTCATATCGAGTATCAGTTCTAAACAACATCTACATTACTTCGGCCCACACATTTGGCCTACTGAATTTTCTCACATCTCCAGCAAAAGACTCTTTGACTGAAGACTTGGGGACTACTGTTTGTTACCATACTTAGGGCCTCCATATTTAGATCTCGTATAAATACTCGGAGGACTTAAATGTAATTATGTAATAAAAGAATGGGCAAATATGTAATAAGTGATGAGCCCTTATTCTATAAAAGGACCCATCACCCTCACAGTTAGGGGGATGCATCACTCTCACCCTCAGAGGCCAATTCCTAGGCCATGAGAAGCCTCACTCTCACCCTCTCATCCTCTCACAAATAGATAAATACAATATCAGTGTGGACGTAGCCCAAACATTGGGTAAACCACGATATCTATGTCTTGTGTATATTCTTGCTTACTTCTTGCAGATTCACGGTCAGATTTATGTTGTTCCAAGACCCCTCTGGTTTTGTGCATCAACAAGGTGTATTCAACAACATGTGTGATGTTAAAAAAAAAAAAAAAAAAAAAACCCTTTATTAAAACATTATAAGATAGTACAAATAATAGCTTAAAATGTACTATTGTTTTTAGATTGTTCGCCATTGAACATGCTCGCCATCGCCAACGTCGTGGATCTTCATTCACATCCCTCTGTCATTGGAGCTTATCGCCATCATCCAACCTGACACAAATCGAGAGCAAATGAGCCTCATGTTTGGTCCGGCCAGCCATATGTCAAAATTCTTAACTAAATAATACCACTTATATTTAAGTGATTTTGCATAATTAGACCTATCAATGAATCAGCTTTTGATGCGAATTTAATCTGAATTTGATGTAACTAGTAGGATTTGGTCACGACCAATTATCCGAATAGATTTGAATTTGATATTCCAACTACATTTGAAACCAGATATAAGTCAAGAGTGATCCAATCCGACTTAGTAAAACATATTATTTGATTTTTATATTATTTATCACACACAATAGTGTAATGGTAATTCAGGTTTTTATGCAATAAAAATACATATCTCTATTAATTAATGAAATTCTCTTTGCCAATCAAAAGATGGTGAAAAGACTACTGATGGTCAATAATGTAATTTCACAAGTCTAAATTTTACTGTTTTTTATTGAAGACACACATATAAGTGATGTCAAAATACCTCTAATATAAAAAAATTAAGGGTAAAGAACAAAAAACTACCTCAATTATTGGTGTCATGACACTTTCATACCTCATCTTTTAAAATTGACAATGCCATACCTCATCTTTAGAATTTGGTCCAATATTATACCTTCCGTTACTTGGCCGTTTATTTTTCAGTTAAATGCTGACGTGGCTTGATCCAGATCCCACTTTCTATTAAAAAATATTATTAAAAACTAAAAAAAATGATTTAATATATGTTCGTTCCCTCCCCCCCCTTCTCTCTCTTCTACCCATCTTCATCTTCTTCTCCCTTCCAGTTCCCTTCCTGCAACCCAGAAAAAAATGAGGAAGAAGAAGAAAAAAAAAAACCAAAAAATACCGAAACCGAATCTGCAACGAAGAAAGAAGAAGAAGAAGATCCCTCATCTTCATCTTCTTCTCCCTTCTAGTCCCCTTCTTGCAACCCATAAAAAAAGCAGGAAGAAGAAGAAGAAAAAAAAACGGAAACCGAAACCGAATCTGCAACGAAGAAAGAAGAAGAAGAAGAAGATCTTCTTCTCCCTTCCAGCCCCCTTCCTGCAACCCATAAAAAAAGCAGGAAGAAGAAGAAGAAAGAAAAAAAACGAAACCGAATCTGCAACGAAGAAAGAAGAAGAAGAAGATCCCCCATCTTCATCTTCTTCTCCCTCCCAGACCCCTTCCTGCAACCCAAGAAGAAGAAGAAGAAAAAGAAGAAGAAAAAGAAAAAAAAAAGAAAAAAAAACCCAAATCTGCAAAAGAATGAGGAAGAAGAAGAAGATGGGAGAGAATCGAAACCGAATCTGCAACGAAGAAAGAAGAAGAAGAAGATCCCCCATCTTCATCTTCTTCTCCCTCCCAGACCCCTTCCTGCAACCCAAGAAGAAGAAGAAGAAGAAGAAGAAGAAAGAAGAAAACCCAAATCTGCAAAAGAATGAGGAAGAAGAAGAAGATGGGAGAGAATAGAGAGAAACAGGGGGGAAAAGAAGGAGGAAGAAGAAGATGGGAGAGAAGAGAGAGAAAGGGGGGGAAAGGAATGAAAATAAGTTTTTTTTTTAACATTTTTTTATTATTTTAATATTTAGAATTTATTAAATGATTTTTTTTTAATTTTTTAATAGAAAGTGGAATCTGGATCAAGCTACGTCAGCATTTAACTGAAAAATAAACGGTCAAGTAACGGAAGGTATAACATTGGACTAAATTCTAATTTTAAAAGATGAGGTATGAAAGTGTCGTGACACCAATAATTGAGGTAGTTTTTGTACTTTACCAAAAAATTAAAATTAAAAAAAAAAACCAAAAACAAAAACCTCCCACTCCCTCCACTTTCTCTCTCTCTCTCTCTCTCTCTCTCTCTCTCCTTCTCATTTTAAAAAAAAAGTGTTTATACACACATAAAATGTGTAGGCAAATGCTAGTATTTATTATTTTCTTATCATGTAACATGAAACTTTTATATAAAAATAAAATAAAAATATAACAAAAGAATCAAGTTACAGATGGACCCGAAGACGGATCCAGGGTGATGCGATCCGACTTCGACCGGTTTACATGTATGTGTAATCTCTATGTGTTGTAATGTGTAACAAAAAGAACTAATAAAGCTGGCTAGTAGAGTAATAGTTATAGTATTCTTATTTTAATTTTTTCCAAAAACAAAGATTAACAGTAATAGTTATAGTAGAGGGAAAGGAAACTCTTCGGATCCCTTTCACCTAATTCACCAAGTTCAGGAATTTGAGTTATTGAAATTTGATCAAACGGCTAAAATTATTATAACTTTTAAAGTGGATCCATGTTTATAACCGTTTGATCAAATTTCAATTGCCTGAATCTCCGAAATTGATAGATTAGGAGGAAGAGATCCGGAAATGATTCCTTTTCATAATAGAGTAATAGTAATAGTTATAGTATTCTCTTCTTACTTTTGGACCTATAAAAGTTCAGGTTTTCTTTACGAGGATTACATAAATTCGTAAATTATGTTCGTTTATCATATATTATGCGAAAAAAATTTAATTTAATTTTTTTAATTAAAAAATAAACATAAACATAAACAATATATAAGAAAAACTAATTGCATGATTTATGATAAACAAACTCAATTGACGATCTCGAAGATACTCCTAAAGAAGATGGGGAGAGTCCTGATTAGGGTTGGGCACGGGCCGGGCCGGGCCGGGCCCAATTTTGAAGGAACCGGACCTTACCCGTTTTAAACAGTAACGGTGCGGGCTGGATCGGGTAGAGAGATTTTGAGTTTTGAAACCGGACCTAACCCGGCCTGTTTGAAATGGGCCGATTCGGGGCGGGTCCACGGGTCCAACTCTTTTTTTTTTTTTTTGAATTTATACTATAGTGCTGCTCTGCATTGCAACAACACTGGAATGAAATTAGCAGACTAAACCGGCCAACATCCCTAGCCATTGGACTAGCGGTTCTTCGCCTGAGCAGTTCGACCAACACCGCGACAAACGCGGCGGAAATGAATGCTTGCTTGTGGCCTAAAACATCTTCCAAGTACCTTTTAGCCTTTGCCAAATGCATCTTCCTGATGGCATGGGCAATCTAAAACAGATAAACAAATACAAATTTTAACAATCGAATCAAAACAATCTAAGCATAACACAAGCAATCCAAGATAAACAGATTTGAAAATTACAGGAGTTGTTTTTTAAAACTAAGGTTGCACTGCACATCAATTCTTACATATATATATATTCAGTACATCAATTCTTGAATACACACACACACACATACTCACACACATAATCGATTCAAATTCAATTTAATTCAACAAAGTTTCAAACTCAGTCGATTCAAATTCAATTCAATAAAAGATTTGAAATTGGAGCATAACAGAGGCCAAGGTTCAAGAACCCAACAAAATCCCTAAATCTAGAAAACCCTAATTTAATTTTCAATCCTAAATCCCTAAAACGTAATACCTTAAAACTGAAGAGGAGTAGAGTCGTGCGCTGCAAATATGGGTCTGAGTCAGACGGAGGAGATGACTGGTTCGAAATCCGGTTGTTTTACATCCAGGTTACCCCCTGCGTGACTGGTAGCGTTCCCGACCACCTCAAGCTCCGCCACCTCCGACGCGAGATTGGGGTATCGCTTGAAATCAACAGGACCCGGGTTCCGGCGTCAGACTCGGCATCGCTCATGCTCCGTCGCGATTGGGTCGATAAGGAGTCGTCGGAGGTGATGTACGTCAGTATCGATAGCGTGAGGGTCACCGGTGGGGTTGAATTCGAGGTGTACGAGAACAATGATATGGTTCTGTGTGGGTCTCTGGAGCGGTGGAGGGTGTTTGGATCAATGGAAATGCGCAGGGATTGAAGAACAATTCGAGAACGGGTGGAGCTCGGAGGAGAGATCGAAGTCTGAGAATCTGAGTGAAATGAAAGGAGTTGGGATGAGAGATGAGAAGAGAGGCCTCAAATTCTATTCCATGCTAGAAACGGGCCGGGCCGGGGCCCGTTCCCTTTTATTTTAAGATCTGGCCCGCTCCACTAATTTCATATACCCGAACCACCCCGCCCCGTTTTGTGTTTAGAAATTTTGGACCCGCCCCGAACCTGAATTACCCGTCCCTACCCACGGTTCCTGTACCCGTTTGCCCACCCCTAATCCTGATGGCTGGGCAATGAAATATGAAGATGAAGTGTGTGCTCCTGCTTTGCTGATTCGACCAAAAAAAGCATGAACAGCTGCCACGTACCCACCATAAAAAGAAAATAAACAAAAAAAAAATTGTGAAAAAGACAAGACGATGGGCAACCCATCAAGTTCGGAATATATCTCTCTCTCTCTGAAAATTGAAAAAGGAAAGGGCAATTTATATACCGATTGTTTTCAAATCAGATGAATTGGATTTGTTGAAATTGCCTTGGATTTGTTTGTTTAAAAGTCTCTGCGTGTTGATGAAAGTTGAAATTGCCTTTCAATAGTTGTTGGTCACGGTCAGTCAGTCGGGAGGAGCCATGAACGATTTGCTTCGGTGAGATAAGAAGCAGCTCAAGAAATATTTTCAGAGTTCTGAGGTGGGTTATTTGATTTTTTTAGTTTTTTCTTAGGGATTTGTTATCGTTCATTTTCGTTATGCATGCATACATACAAAAATACATACATACAATACATACACACATACATACATACATGATGCACAAACAATTACTTCACCCCCACCCCATATAGATAGATAGTCATGGCCTTCATTTGTCGTTTCTGGGGATTTTTCTGAGGTGAGCTGTGCTTGCTCGAATGCAGATATATTTTGTTTTTGTATTTTGTTTTCGTTTTTGGATTGATTTGATGATCCTATTTGTCCTGTTCGTGTGTTTGGATAAGGACTGATCTATGATGCACGGATACTTCTGTGTGGTCCCGTATCCCGTATCCGATACTTGATCGGATACGATACTTGCCCGATACTCTCGGATACTCGTCTGACACGTATCCTGGTTGATGGACACGAATTTGACATGATGGATATGCATATCCTACATTTAGGATACACGTATCCTGCTTTTAAGATACATTTACACTTCCAAAAAAAGGTAATGAGGAAGAGAAAATTAATAGGAGACATCTATAATTGAAAGTTGCTAAATACAAAGAGCTTCCCTCTAATTAAAACCATGAATACGACTCTCACATTTCTTCTACTGTATAAAGAGGATTAGATTTCAAACTTTCCTTATCTAACAACTCAAATGTACTTGAATTTGAATGATGAATTATGTTTTAAAATGTATATTTTTGTTGCTATATACATTTTCATTTGCCGTATCCATAGCGTATCGTATCTTAATTTTTAGAGATTTTCCGTATCGCCGTGTCGTGTCGTATCGTATCGCCGTATCCGTATCCGTATCCATGCTTCATAGGGACTGATAGACAGCGATGTGTGAATTGTGATTGATGATGATGTTTGTGATTAATTGTTTTCGACTTTAGTGTTTGGGTTCAGATATTTTGTGGCAACTTGACTTGAGAGGATGGAATTGGTTGGAACTTGGATTATTGGAGGAGGCTCTTGTTCTTCTACCAATTTTTCAACTGACTTACGCCCTCTTTAAGAGTTAGGATTCGTTTCAGAGTTGTGTTGGTACTTCCAAAATCAAGTTGCGAATTTTAGCACAAGGTCGATCAGTTCATCCACTCTGGTCACGTGCTTTTGATTCAGTGAAAATTTGATACTGAATTCACTCGTCCGATTATAATAGCCACCCAGTCAGTCAGTCAGTCATGTTTTAAAATCTAAAATGGATGTTTGTGTTGTTGCCAAAATCACACCCTGTCTGTCCTTATTTTCCAGATGGTCAGTCAGTCAGGGCTCTAGGTACAAGACTGTCCGGTCCCTGATCCATCTCTGCGATTGAATGGTATTCTGTAATAAAAATTGATGATGGATAAGAAAGAGAAAAAGTTCCTTACAGTTGCCCCCTTTGAGTGTGCTTGGCGAAAGGATTTAAAATTCCGGGAATCCGGCCGGGGTTGCGTGGCTTTTGAAGCGTTTGCTCACAATGATGTAACACTGGTGTTTCGGGAGAATGTAGGAAGCCAGCACTATCATTACAAAAGAGATAATAGTCCTCACTATACTGTTATACTGGGCAGTCATAGGAATAGGCGGTTGAAAATTGAGGTAGATGGGAATACTGTGGTGGATGTGGAGGGTGTTGGTCTTTGTTCTTCTTCTGCGTTTCAGAGCTACTGGATCAGCATCTGTGATGGTTTGATCAGTATTGGTAAGGGAAAATACCCTTTTCAGAATCTAGTCTTTCAGTGGCTAGATTCGCATCCAAATTGTGCTGTTCGTTATATCGGGCTTAGTAGCTGGGATAAACATGTTGGTTATAGGAATGTCAGTGTATTGCCATTAACTCGCAACCATATATCCTTGTGGAAGCATGTGGACTGTGGCGAGTACATATGTGAGGATGATGATGAAGAGGAGCTGGAGGATGAACGAACGGCTTATGAGAAATGGGGGATTGAAGATTTTCTTGAAAATTGGGAGTTATCTGATGTTCTTTTCATCGTTGGTACTGAAGAAAGGCCTGTACCAGCTCACAAGTCTATTTTGGTAGCATCTGGTAATTTCCCATTGACTTCTTCAGAAGATATTCTCCGCCTGAAGGGGGTAGCTTATCCGGTTCTACATGCACTACTTCAATATATTTACACAGGCCGAACACAGGTACATATAGCTTAAATTATGGGGAAATCAGAAATGCATATCTGTTGACATATCAAAATCATATCTAGCATGTTAACGTAAAGAAATTACAAATATATGTTATTTTACGCCACAGATGCCCCTGCATCCCTGACAAGCAGGTATATTACATGAAGAACCTTTCGCTTATTATTTTTTTGCATGAGATTCGTCTCTCTCTCCCTCTCTCGCACACACATATTTACGTATATATAAGAGAAAAGATCACGTGGGTGGTTTGTAAGTCAGCTTAATCATCCTTATTATTTGATAGAGACTAGTATTCTAAATATTCTTCCTTTGTCAGTTCTAATTTTGTTACAGAGATTGCAATTCTAATAGGTAACATGGCTCTGTTTGATATAGATTCCAGAACCACAACTTGGTTCCTTGAGGGCTCTAGGCTTACAATTTGAAGTGATTCCACTAGTGAAGCAATGCGAGGAAGCCAGGGAACGGTGGAAACTAAATAAAAAGTTGTTTGACTTTGGAAAAAGTGTGGAATTGTCATATCCATACACTCGACCGAATTGTTGCACAGCCTTCCCATTTGGAGTTCCCGTTGATATACCGCGGCTGAAACAATTGTATTTAACAAGAAAGTACAGTGATGTAAATATCTACATTGAGGGTCATGGCCTTATTGCCCGATCACATAAAATTATTCTTAGTTTATGGAGTCTCCCGTTCACAAAGGTGAGCCAATTAATCATCATTCTGCTCCATTTTATTCTATTTTATGTACACCCTTATGCTTCTCAGATAAACCACATAAGCACATAATTGTCGTAGAGAGGAAATGCATTGCTATACGAGCATAATGTTAGTTTAAATGTGATCTAGGGGTGCATTCTTCTCTGTCCATGCTAATTTGTTTTCTTAAGTCTCACGGATGACTTTTCTATTCAAATGTTTCATTGTGCAGATGTTTACAAATGGAATGAGTGAAACAATATCCCCGGAAGTTATTTTAAGAGACATATCACCTGAAGCATTCAAAGGTTTGCTTGAGTTCATGTATAGTGGGGAACTCAGTTTAGAAGCTACTGTTGATTCTGGTGCCTTATTACTCCAACTCTTTCTGTTGGCCGATCAATTCGGAGTTACTCTCCTTCATCAGGAATGCTGCAAAAAACTTTTAGAATACCTCTCAGAGGTAGTTTGATAATCCTTATCTTACAACATAGTTTAATTCATCTATAGTGGTTCATATCGTGCCTATTTTGTCAGTTTTACAGAATGTCACTTGCATGACTAGAATAAAAGAACGGGGAAGTGACTTGCAGTTTCGGACTTCTGAAAAGAACAGAAGAGCTTTTAAAAATGAATTATAGAGATTTTGATACATCTCATGTGCATATTATATGCAGGGATGGAGTTCTAGTGGAAGAAGTCATACAACAAGAATTTTACTAATATCAAGTTTAATGGACGTGGAAGCAGACTGTTTGGGAAAAATAATTACATTGTTGCTTTGAAGCTAACTGTTGATGTTTGTTGCAGGACTCAGTGTGTCTGGTCCTTCAAGTAGTTTCGTCGATTCCATCATGCAAACTTATTCAAGAAACTTGTGAGATGAACTTTTCGATGCACTTTGACTACTGTACAACCGCAAGCGTTGACTTCGTTTTGTTAGATGAGACAACCTTTCGCAATATCATTCAGGTAGGAGTCACTGTTTAAGTCACTAGTATATGGATAGCTTAAGGCTCAGGATTAATACATCAGGTCATGTATACAAAAGGACTGACGTAAGAGGCCAGTGAGGTTGAAGTTGGAAAGGCGTCCTGTGGGAGGGAGTAAGTTAACCAGCTTAGTGAGAGACCAGTGAGGTTTACCTTGTGGCAAGGGTGTAGCTGCGATTTTAACTTTAAAGGGGACAAAATATAAAGCAAAATTAAAAATGTTCCTTGTAGTTGTAATGAGTATTATTGATTAAAATACCACTTGACAAGATTATAAACCCATTACCTTTCTACACAAGATTTGAGATAACAAGAGGTCTTGAGCTGTTGCTTTTGCAAATCTTAATAGAAGAATAGACATGACTTTCATGATTATTGGAGGCTACTTCTAACTCTTTTATCCTATCACGTGCATAATTTATTGGGAAGGATTCCACTGCTTAAATGTAATTATGTTTCTATGTTACTTTTGTATTATTGTCTATATAACAAGGGGTCTTTGAAAATCCCACCCGCAACCTTAGAATAGCTCTGGCCCTGCCTTGATTGCAGCATCCAGATTTGACTGTAACATCTGAAGAAAAGGTTCTCAATGCAATCTTAATGTGGGGTGTGAAAGCAAAGGAAGAGTATGGGTGGGAGATGATAGATGAAATGATGATACACTGCACCCCGGAACTTCTTTTTGGGGATAGGCTGCAGACAGTTAATCACCTTCTGTCCTTTGTTCGATTTCGGTTGCTACCCTTGCCCTTGCTTGAGAAGGTATGTGGACCCTGGGTATAGAGATGTATCACTATTCTACTGAAGACTAGAATTTTTTTGTCTGACTACAATAATTTTGCAGTTGGGGAAGAGCAACATTGCCAGGCATAGTTCTACTTTCAGTAATCTTGTGAGTTGGGCTTTCCTGTGTCTTCTTATTTCTACGTAAAAATGATTATTGTTCCTAAATAAAATTTTTTATGCTGATATCACAGGTCATGGAGGCCATCAATTGTATCAAGCATGGACTGGCAAGGCCAGAAAATGAGCATAAGTGAGTATGGAGTATTGGAGTTAACATTGTTGACAAAGGGTGTATGGTGTTCATGCTCTGGGTATTTAGTAAGCTAACATAGTCTTCTTTTTCTAGTCTCAGAATCCAACATAGACGATCTAGTTATAAGGAACTCCAGTACATATGCGACGGGGACAGCAATGGAGTTCTGTACTTTGCAGGGACGTCATATGGGGAACATCAATGGGTTAATCCTGTTCTGGCTAAAGTATATTCTTATATCTTTGTTTCCTTTTTATGACTTCTTAAGTGTAATCATTTTTAACACAGTTGCCCATTCTTTATAAATGCATGTTCCAGAGAATTACTATTACAGCAAGCAGTCCCCCTTCCAGGTTCACTGATCCCAAGGCTTTGGTCTCAAGAACTTACAGGGTACGGTAAATATAAATATCAAATATGGTATGTGAGGAATCGAAATAATATGACAATGTATGGCCACATCAGGGAACATCTTTTGCTGGGCCACAGATAGAAGATGGACACAAAAGCACGTGGTGGACAGTTGATATTGGTGCAGATCATCAGGTATATCTCCGTATGTTCGATCTGCTTCAGTTAAAAAGTACCATGGACGTGCTTTTGGCATATAAACATTGTCATATGCTCCATTCTGGTAGAAAACAGGGATCCAATAAAGTTGACGAATTCAAAGCCTATACAGTGTGCCTAATTTTATTCATATGTGGACCACCTTCCTGTCTAGTACATTGGTGTCGTAATTTCCTCTTGATGGGCATTCTGATGAATGAAACTTGGCTGATTTTCAGCTTATTTGCAATAACTACACCTTGAGGCAAGATGGGTCCAGGGCCTACATGAGATATTGGAATTTCCAGGTAAAGACTGGGAAATGTGACACATTGCGGCATTTTTATTTTCATTTTCAGTCATGCTTGTTCTTCGTTTTGGGGGTGTTTACGAATATTGTGGGACACGGAGGAAACAGTATGGAGTAATCCTGTTGTTGAATATGTTACTATTCTTATAGGGATCTCTGGATGGGAAGACATGGACAAATCTGAGAGTGCACGAGAATGACCAAACCATATGCAAACCTGGGCAGTTTGCATCATGGCCCGTTATTGGACAGAACGCTCTTCTTCCGTTCAGATTCTTTAGGGTTGTTCTGACAGGTCCTACAGCAGATGCTTCCAACCCTTGGAATTTCTGCATTTGCTTTTTAGAACTATATGGTTACTTCCACTAATTTTTAATATTATGTGTGGTGTTTCCTCAATTTCTGTAAATTTCTTCGACCAGCTTTATGTCATGCATATGTATCCATTATCCATGTGTATGTTACTTAAAACTGTTGGAATAAAAATGGCAAGGGAGGAAAACCCTTCTTTTCTTTCAGTTGATTGTGATTCACCATGACGGGGATACTTGTCACGTTAATCTGGTTTTGAGCATGTCGAAAAATGCCACAGCTACTCGAAAAATGAAATGTTTATGGTATGCAGCAAGACTGGCCGCCTTCCCTTGCCTTCGGGTTTCCTTCTCTCTTTTTATAACTTGTGAGAAAATAAACAGAACAAATGCTACCAACTCTGAAGATTTAGATTGAAATGACGCTATTACATCAACAATATCAACTACATGGAAATCGAGTACATGTAAGAGTCGAAAAAATGTAGCATCCAAAACATAACATGCATACAAAACGAGAACAGCCTGTCAAGAAACCCTTTCTCCGATTTCTCTCATCTCCCAAAAAATGTCTATTCTTTTACACCGAGGATTCTGAAGGGTAGCACAACGGGCGGCCGATTACCTTCGAACAGGTGGTACAACACCCCTACCGGCTGTCCCACGGCCAGCAGCTTGAGCCTGCACAACAAAATATATTTTATTCAAACCCAAATCCATTTATCCTTTTCTTTTCTATAAATGAGTTGCTCAATATTTTCAGAGTTTTGTATCCCTATGCCTGACCTACAAGACTAAATCAAGGAACTCTCTATTTCTCACTACGCTATCTTCTGTGTTGTCTCCACATTTCTCACACATGAATGTTCAAATGTAAGGCATCAAAAGCTTTCAATTATTAAACTCAAATAGAAGACTAAAAGATTCCATATTATTACGCTTTTATTATAGACCCACCATCTGAAAACGTTCCGTGGACAAAAGAGAAACTGCATTAAGATTCAGTAAAAATGAGAAGAGCTTACCTTAGCTCGCATTGAAACAGCTCTACCTCTGCTGACTCCTAGTGAAGCACCCTTGCCCTACCAGATTCAGAAAATCAAAATGTCAGTAAAAAACAAAATTCATCACAATCGCAAACTCGATGATCATTTAGACATGGAATGATACCTTGATTCTAGCATCCAGGCGCTTGAACATTGGAGCATTCTTTAGCATGTCAGGTATGACCATAAACCTATTAAAATTTCAAATCAATATCAGTGAACAATCATTGGAAGTAGCAAAGCAACACAACTAGACCAAATTATGAATGGGTGCTGTCAAACAAAAAAGTAATCCGTTATTATATACCTTACTTTGCTCCCTCGGATAAATACGTGCTCAAGCTGTGAAACTTTTCCGTCCTGTAGATGAGTCTACTAATGTCAAAAACAAAGATAAACTAATTGTCCAAGCTTTGAAAATAAAAGCGGCTTAGTAACATCCTACATAGGATATTTTTCCATCAATTTCCGTTTCTCTTATTTTCAAAATTGATCATCAGGATGTATAGCAAGAAAAAAATACACATTAAGTGCTTGGTTCAAGTAAACTTTTTTTTAGTTTTAGAGGTATCATGGAGACCAAACACCAGTTGAAATAAAACCAATTGTTCAAATTGTAGTGTGTGCACCAACAGTGATAGAGACTTGTAAAGCCATTGCGAGTTTAAACCTTACTGAACCTACTCCAACATTTTGAAACTGGGAAACTGGGAAACTGGACCATCTCTTAAGATTCTCCACCACCACCACCACTACTTTCCGAATCCTAAAAAATGGAAACAATCATTCAGCTTCATCTAGGGAAATTTGCCTAATAGGGTGCAGAATTCCAATTCCCTTACCTTCCAATCCAACTATTTCACCGGCTTTTCAGCCTACACTACTAGTACAAGTTCATGGTTTTTTTTTTTTTTGATAATTGTGCCGTCAGATTCACTAAGAGAGAGATGCAGTATCAGTGCAAGCGCTTGAAATCTAGGGTTTTAATTTAAAAGATGGCAGCGGAGATCGCAGTCTTTGAAAAGAAGGCAAAAATAACAGCACATTGAAGATACTACAAACGAAGAAGAAACGATAGATGATAGAGACTGGAGTACCTTGGCGGTGTAGGTGATGTTCTCGAGCTGACAGTTCCAGTTGTCCTCGCACTCGACCATGCTTCCTCTGTAAAGCTCACCGCTCTTGAGCTCCACCGTCACCACGTGCCCTGACGCCTCGTGAAGAAGCTTCACCGGAATTCCCAAACTTCTGCTCATGATTCACTTACTGACTGACTGTCTTCCTCTTCTTTTCGTTCTGCAAAACCCTAACCTCGAACCGTCTTTCCTCCCTCACTTCCCCTAATTTATAGGGTTTAGGGCTCCTTCTTGTCCTCGTCCAAGTGTTGTTGCAAACTTTATGGGGCCTAACTGGTGAGGATATTATTTGGGCCTTGGCCCAATACTCTTTTTTAGAAGAAAAGAAAAAATATTTTAAAATCACAGTACAGTGGAGAAAAGGAAAGAAAATAGAACTAACGGGCAGCGCGCAGTCACGTGGATGCTATTCTTTGTTTCCAGCGGAAAGCAATCGCAATCGCAATCAAATAGGTTGTCAGGCGCAATCATGATTTTTTTAGTTGAGTGTGGATCCCACTTGGCGCAGAGGTCGTGACCATTAACCAAATACAAACCGTCAGTTGAGAAAAAGCTTTTCACCGATTGAATAAGGAGCGGAGTGGAGTGGATGAGCAAGTACAGCACCATTGAATTAGGCTATCAGGCTATTAGCAGAAGCATTAGGAAGAAATGAATCTGAGCTGGAGTGGGCTCTGGCGTGGGCCTTAGCTTGCATTTGCAGTGCGTAATAAGTTATTATTCATTAATAATAGGACTAATACTAATACAAGCAGGGAGGGAGAAAAAGAAAACGAATGGGAGATGGCCGATCATGAACAAGACAGGCTGAATCGGTGACTCGGTGAAGAAGAAGAAGGAAGAAAGAAGAAGAAGGAAGAAAGAAGAAGAAGAAGAAGAAGATGATGTTGGCACCGACTGGTTTGGTTCTTCGTCATCCCACTCACACTCCTCTATCATTTACCTTTACGAGCACCAACGACGAGTACCCATCCAGACTCGGGCTTGGACTCAGGGTTTGTCACCTTCACTCACTCAATCAAAATCAAAATCTTTCCTACTTTTACTTTCCTTAATTAATCACTTAATATATATGTATTGTTAATCTTAATTATTTATTGAAAACGTGCGTGGCGGTAGTTGCAGAATATTCGTTTTTTGTTTTGAGTCTTAGAAATTTGCAACATATTTGGATCTGCAGGGCAAAAAGCAGCAAGCAGTGCGGTTGTTGAGGTTCGGAACATCTCAAAACTCATCATCGCTTCTTCGCAGACGTGGTTCCCCCTCAACAACAACAACAACAAGTGGATGTTCCAAGGTGCGTGCTACTGCTTGCTCTCTCTTAAATCTTAATTACATTTACTCTAGACAGTAAACAGACAGGCAGACAGGCTAGAAGATGAATAATTAATTAATTTCACATTGTTATGTTATGATTGACTATTTGGTCCTTGCTTGTTGATGTATCTTCATTGCATTCTGCTGCTGCCTGCTGCCTTCGCCATGTGCCATGTAAAATTAATATGCTTCCTTCAATACTAGTTTCACTCTAACAAGGGGAAGGGGATACTAACTGATTTCACATTCTTCATTTCATTTCCCCACTACTTTCGACTTTCACTGATAAACTAGTTGCAATCCGCACTTTCTTTCTCAGGCAGAGCCTACTTCCAAAAGTAAAGCTGTTTTCATAGACGACAGCCCCATAATAACAGACACCGACCAAAGCATGGAAAACCTTGGAATCTTGAGCATCGATCAATCCTTGCAACCATACAAGGACCACTTCAACTATAGAATCAACAGATACCTGGATCAGAGAAGGCTTATTGAGACATACGAAGGAGGTCTACAGGAATTTGCTCAAGGTCACTTTTATTTTATGCAATGGATTTCTTCTCTTAAATTTCCTTTCTTTAGAGATACCATCGTATCATTTTCCTTAAAACAGATTGTTTAACACCTGTTTGCTTCATCTCTAGGTTATTTGAAATTTGGATTTAACAGAGAAGAAGGTGGAATTGTGTACCGTGAATGGGCCCCTGCTGCTCAGTGAGTTCATTAGCTTCTCGACTACAATTCCATAACTTTCTGAGGCATACGATTTGTCTTAATTGCTTTAATACATGT